GTGACTTCAGTTCATCTTCACAGGTATTGGCAGCATTCAGGGACTGGACATCAGATGCACTGTATTCTAAGAGTGAATAGCCACAAATAGAGACATGTAACACGTTATTAACTCTCCTATGGTTTAACAGCACAAGGATGCATGAGTGGCCTCAGTCATTCTTGTGCATGGGTGTTGTTTTATTTGGAATACAAATATGCACAACTTCATTGTGTATACAGTTGATTGCCATCACAAAATGATCCAGGCTCTTTTGTGCAGTCCTCTTCACTGCAGTTGGTTTACTGCACAATTATGCACATGAAACAGCGAGGCACAGTTGTTGGGCAGCACAAAAGTGCAATCTGATATTCCTGTGAGGGACAGTTGGCGCAGTGCACAACATGACACAACTGTGCATCTTTGAGTGACTTACCAACTGACCCAAAGAGTGACTTCCATTAAGGGGGGTTTAATATTTCCCAGGGTTCTTTAACCACTTGCTGCTGAGGGTAATTTGAAGTTAGATGACGTATACCCAGCGGATTTTCAAGATTTTCCGTTTTCAAAATTCTTCAAAAATCATAACTTCATTTACTGGACATTTACATTTACGTTTGCTGTGACGCCATCCAGGGAAGACATAGTTCAGTGCGTAGGTTTTACTCACTGAAAGCATTTCCGAGAAAAGGATTCATTCTTGCTTATTCCTATAGTGTAATTCGACAACCAGAATTAGAAGCCATTACTGCGGTGGCGCAACGCTCTCGGACAGGTGGTACGCGTGCGTTACACACCTCTTTGACAAATGTGGTGTCGTGGTTTGCAAAATGCATGCACACATCAAGCTGAAGAATGTTTATGTGAGTGTGGTGCCACCGCAGTTATGGCATTTAATCAAATTAGTCTATACACATAAAAAGAAATGCATTGGTAAAGAGGAGAAAATTCAATCCAGGAAAATGTAGGACTTTTTGTCACATGAAACACTGAGGCTTTCTTCCTGGGATAACATCACAGTTTTTCTCATACACATGGAAACACTCATTAGCATAAAAATTAAAATGAGGTTAATTGACACACAAAGACGCAAATTGAAATTTAAAAATTTTGGTCAAAACTATCACTTTTAAAATAAAAAATGCAATATTTAAAAACAGCTTCAAGGCATCTCAGGACAATCTGTTTGTAAGATGAGATACTTCGATTTTGCAAAATAAATATCTTGCACAGGTAACCACAGAGACAGACCTGGCATTGTAGGGGCTTGAGGTCAGGCATTACCACACAATAGATTAAAATGCATTTAAATGAGCCTTCAGTTCTCTTAAATTTTTAATCTATTGTGTGGTAACGCCTGACCTCAGGAAGGAGTGCGGCATGTTGGCAGGTCTGCAGAGATCACGTAACATGGTTGCAAAATGTTGAAGAGCTGACGAACAGTGTTTGAGAAGAAAGCATCATATTTTGCTACACTGAAGTTTCCTCTTGGATTGCTCTCCTATTTATTATATAATGGAACACAAGATGCATTAGAAGGGAATCCCAAGTGGCACAAA